GAATTTCACCCTTCAATAGGTTCCATCAAAACCCTAGACTAAGGAATTAGCTACTCATGACAAAACAAGATGAAAATACTAAACTATTCATAATGGGTAATTGCAAGAAAATAAAAGAGATAGAAAAACTCTAATGTTTGGTTGATCTTCTCACACTTGTTCTTGCCTCCAAAGTAGTCTAAAAACAAGCTTCAAACAATCTTGGGCGAGTTTCTATAGCTTATAAGGGTTTGGAACAAGTTTTCCCGAAGTTACACTTTGGTCCAAAAATTTCTGATGCGTGAACAGTGCACCGCGATCGCGGCAAGACCACGGCTCGATCGCGGTGGGAGCTGATCATTCTGCCTCAAGCTTTAGTCTGTCGAGGTGGAATTTGCTCAAGCCATTTTCTCGCTTCTTTGTGCTCGGGTACTTCTCGAGTGGGCGTTTTCTTCATATTATTGCCTCCAAAATATTCCGTGGTGCTTCCTCACTTAGAATATTTCCTGCAAAACAAAAGAACACCATTTAGAGCATTTTGTTGGCAATTTACCTATAAAACAACAATAAAGCATGGTACTATTAAGGTGTAAATATCATCTATATAGCCTAATATCATGTAGTTCGGTACTTTCTTTAAAAATATGTCTATATACTATGTATTGACACCTCTTGACTTCTTGATGAATTTATTTTCTTATATTTTGACTCCCTTTCATGAAAATCCTGGCTCTGCCATTGATCATAACCAATAAAATACAAGAATAACCAAGAATTGATTTAAGCCTTACATTAGCCAATAAAAGCGACTGTGCTAGAACCACGGGAATGGAGGGATGCCTTACACCTTCCCCTCGGTCAACAAAATTTCTTACGCAGTCTTATGTTTTCGTAGACAATAAATTAGGAATCAAACCTTCTATTTGACGAGGGATCCAAATAAAAGGTGACTTGGAACACCAAAACTCAATTCCAAATGGCGACTCTAAATAATAAATAACCCCTTTTCAAAACGTCACTTTAATTGGAAAACTCTTTCAACCCTCCGGGGTTGGCCGGTGGTAATTCATGTTACTTATGTCTTCCTTTGCTAACTCTACGAGTCTTTTTCATTATGCTTTTACTATGATATAAGAATGATCGTCAATCGTTACTGCTCAAAATTATCAGTAGATACACTGCCTCTAGCTTTATCCTCACCACTACTTGACCTGCAGCAATATTCCCATCCACCATATACTTGATATAACTTTTCTTTCCTCTAGAGAGAAAAAAAAGGTTTTGTATTGTAATGACCATCAGCTAATAAGGTTGCCTTGAAAATTAAGATAGTGGGGCCATAAATGGCATCTTAATTCTTGAAGATAAGATGGGAATAAGTCAATGAAAATATGCTATAAGAATAAAACTAGTACTACTAATATACTAGGGTCTGCCGTCCAAAAAATTACACTTGTGATCATAGCAAATGACATTCATTAAATTGAACTTATAATTTTTGTGGTCGTAAACTCCCGCGAGGATTCAAATTCAAAGATACGCACACAGAAACGCGACGAAAATTTATCTATCTATTTTATATTATACTAAAAGCGAAATATCGTTCGTCTTTTTTACTCTTTTAAAATAGAGTTTACATTAGACAAAATAATCACTGTTATCTTATTATTTTCCTAATATTTAGGATTGTTAAATTAACTGAAATTTTAATAAATTTTAGAAATTTAAATCTTTCCATGACTAAAATATTCTCAACATACTATAGAAGAAGTAATCACAACTAGGCGTTAATGATTACTTTAGTTTTCATTAAAAAAACATTTTTTTTAAAGAGAAATTCGTATTCTTTTATTTTCATAATAAAAATAAATTAGATTTGGAAAACCACATTGGGATGAAAAAATTAGCAATAAATACTCTCTGATATAATAAATAAAGCTTAATAATCCGAGCATCAAAGTTAGCCCCCAAACATCTTATTGTCGATATGTATATAATACTTTTCTTTTAAATTACCCATTGAAACAATGTCCTCGTAAGGCTAGTTTTAATGGAAAAGAGAAACTTGATAGTTTAACGGCGTGCATGATTTTGAAGAATTAGGAGAAAGAGAGATGAAGAAGACGACGTGCATAGATAGAAGAAGAAAGGAGGAAGAAGGCTCTGCTATGAAACCGTTTCATTGAAGCTTAGAAAGAAAAATGAAATACACATATATATACACCCCATATGCTTAGTTGTCACCAACTAATTAACCTCTCCACTAACTACTTACTTAAACTAACTAACCAACTTAAATAATACAAAGTACAGCTATTGCTTTAAGTCTTGTTACTCTCAATACTCCCCTCAAGCTAGGTGGTTCAAGTTAGGTGGTGCAAACACATTAAGCATCCCTAGCTTGGAACAAAGATATTCGTGCTGAACTCTGCTTAGCCATTTGGTTCGCAAATCTGTTGATTGCTCTTTGGTGGGAATGTACTCGGTTCTTATCAGTCCCTTTGTATTTTTTCTCTTACAAAGTGGCAGTCAATCTCTATGTGCTTGGTTCTCTCATGGAACACTGAATTGGCTGCTATTTGCATTGCTACTTTGCTGTCAATGTAAACCTCAACCGGAAGTTCCACCTTTATTTCAACTTCTTTGAACAGCCTCAAAATCCATGTTAGTTCTGCAATTGTGGATGCTAGGCTTCTATATTCTGACTCAGCTGAGCTTCTAGATACAGTACTTTATTTCTCGGACTTCCAAGATATTAGTGAATCACCAAGCTTGACAATGAAGCCTATTACAGATTTGCGAGAATGTGGACAGGCTGCCCAATCAGCGTCACAGTAGGCTATGACTTTTTTGTCTGCTTTACTTGACAGAAGTACTCCTTGCCCAGGATGGTTTTTTACATACTTGACCACTCCTAGAGCAACTTCAAGATGTGATTTCTTTGGTTGATGCAGAAATTGACTTAAGGTTTGCACACTGAATGCAATTTTTGGTCTTGTTATGGTTAAGTAGAGTAGTTTGCCTATAAGCATTTGATAGGAACTTGCATCAAATAGTAACTCATCCTCCCCCTGGCATGGACCAGCCAAGTGATCATCCAACTCTTTAGTAGTGAGCCTTGCATTTGTTTCAAGTGGTGTAGTTGCTGGCTTTGTTGCTCCCAGTCCTAGTTCAGAGATAAGCTCTAGAGTGAATTTTCTCTGGTGCATTAAGATTCCCTGCTTGAACCTTGCAAATTCAATCCCTAAGAAGTATCTTAACTCTCCTAGGTCCTTCATTTTGAAGGTCTGCTGTAAAGAAGATTTGGCTTCTCTAATCAATGCTAGATTGTTGCTAGTAATTAGCATATCAAGACTAGGATAAGTACAAAGTCACCTCCTGATCCTTTGATGAACAGAGAACGATCATGTTGACTCTGAGTAAAACCAAAGTGTAACACAACCGCGGAAAGTTTTGCATTCCACTATCTAGGGGCCTGCTTGAGACCATATAAGAATTTGATGAGTCTGCATACCTGCTGCCCCCTGGCTCACAAAGCCCTAAGGCAGGTCTATGTAGATCTCATCATAAAGATCACCTTGGAGAAAAGCATTTGACACATTCATTTGATGAATGTGCCAATGTTGCATAGCAGCAATGGAAAGAATAGTTTTGACTATAACTATTTTGACAACAGGAGAAAAGATCTTCTGATAGTCAATGCCTTCTCTTTGGTTATAGCCTTTGGCAACTAGCCTGGCTTAGAACCTGTCAATTTCACCAAATGCCCTATACTTTATCTTGTACACCCATTGCATCCAATGAGTTTCTTACCATGAGGTAAGGGCACAACATTCCATGTATGATTATCCTCTAAAGTAGCAATCTCAGACTTCATAGCAGCTACCCATCTGAGATCCTTGATTGCTTCAACATAAGAAACAGGTTCAACTTCAAGAGAGGAAGAAGCAATGGAAGCCTGATAATGAGGAGACAGGTGATCACAGGACAGATAGGTTGATAGGCCATAAGGAGTATGTTAATTGGCATGAAGAGAAATAAAGTCCTTCATCCATAATGGTGGATGCTTGTCTCTAGCTGATCTTCTAAGGGCAGGACGACTAACTTGAGAGACATCAACACCTGGTGATATATCAGCTGGTAATGATCTTGCACTTGAGTCGGTGCTGCTAGGAGAGGAAGAGCTTGCATGTGGTGAGACTGAAGAGTCATGTGCAGTAGAATTCTGGTTGGGTTCTGCTGAAGCATCTTGAGCATTCCATCACTTAGTAACATTGGTAAGACAGAAGAAGATGTATTAGGAAACACAGACTGTTTGTAAGAGGAGAACTGCTGAAATGGGAAGATAACTTCCCTGAGTGTTACATCTCTGTTAACAAAAAAGGAGTTAGTTGACAAGTTAAGAAGAATGTATCCCTTATGTGAAGAAGAGTAGCCCATGTGAACAGCAATGATAGCTGTTGGTTGAAGCTTATCAGCCTTATTGACAATCTTGGCATAACACAAGCAACCTAGGACCCTGAGGTGTCCAAGCAATGGCTTCTTTCTGTACAATAACTCATAAGGAGACATGTGACTTAGTTGTGAAGATGGCATCCTATTGATAAGATAAATATCTGCCAACACACAGTGCCCCCAAAACTTTAAAGGAATGCAACTTTGAAACCTTAGAGCTCTGCATACTTCTAGAATATGCCTATGTTTTCTCTCAACAACTCCATTTTGCTGAGGAGTATAAAGACAAGTTCTTTGATGGATAAGGCCAAGGTTTGTGAACAAAGTATGGCAGACAGAATTGACAAATTCAGATCCATTATCAGTCCTAACACACTTAACTTGTTTTGTCAAACTGAGTTTTCACATACATCAGGAAATCATGTAGGACAACACATACATCTGACTTGAGTTTTAAGAGAAAAATCCAAGTCATTCTAGAGTAGTCATCTACTACAGTTAAGAAATATCTATTGCCATCAATAGTTGTAGTGCTATAGGGTCCCCATACATCCAAATGTAGTAAGTAAAAGGAAGCTACACTTTTATTTGTACTGCTGGGAAAATGTAGTATAGTCAATCGAGCACATGGACAAACAGAGCAGTTTTTTACAATAGAAATACAGCTTTCCTATTTTATTGAAAATAGTTTGTTTAGGACTGAGGAAGACACATGACCAAGTCTTTTGTGCCAATCCACATATGTAGGTGTTCTCTTAGAGAGTATATCCTCATTCTGTGTGGCTGCTAGTGATGTTTCTGCAGCATGCTTGTTGACAGTTAATGAGTTCCAAGAGGGTAATATGTAAAGACCTTTATCTTCTCTACCAATCGCCTTCACCCTCACACTGAAGAGATCCTGGAATATGCAAAAATCAGGATAAAAGGCAACCAAACACTGCAGCTCTTTGGTTACCTTTGATACAGACATCAAGTTAAAGTTGAATTGTGGTATATGAAGCACATTTTTGATAATACTCTTGTCTGAGATAGCACTAGTACCAATATGTTTAACATATGAAACACCACCATTAGGTAGGAATACCTTCTTAGAGTAAGGAGGATCAATTGTGTTAAACGAGGTTAACAGGCTAAGATCAGAGACAATGTGATCAGTTGTACCTGTGTCAATAATCCACTCTTGAATATTATTAGTAGCTAAGAATGTAGTACTTATACCTGCAACATTGGCAGTAGATGAAGAGCTGGATTCCTTGTTGAGAAACTGAAGTATTTGATCATACTGATCCCTAGTAAGAGTTAATAGAGCCTGTGTAAATTCCTGATTCATTGATGCAGATGAAGCTGCAGCATTGCCTGTAGTATTGCCCTCTGTAAGGTGAAGGTGAGATGCTTCTGGAATGCAGCATGTAGTCACACACATTTGAGGTGTGGAATTCTTTACAACATTAGTAGTTTCAGAAAACACATTGTAAGCATTACTGACAGTGGTAGGTGCTCCCCCTTCCTTCTTGTATTTGTAGTCAGGTGGATAGCCAATGATCCAATTCTCTTTGCTATGTTTCTTAAGCTTGCAAAACTCACATTGTATGTTATAATTTTTCCTGAATTTCTGATCTATAGTTGGTTTAGAACTAGAAAATGCTATAGATTCATAGTGACTAGCATATTCATTAGGTAGAGGACCTGGAATGCCAGATGTGGCTGCTACAGCTCTTTGACTTTCATCACTAACTAGCATAGCATAAGCTTGATTCAGAAATGGTACTGGCTTCATCATAAGTATTTGGCTGCGTGCTTGCGAATAGGAATCATTCAAGACCATGAGAAATTGATAAAGTTTCTGTTTGTGCAAATACACAATAAAATCCCTAGACTTAACACAGTCACAACCAGGTTTAGGCACTAATGCTTCAGCTTCACCCCAAAGATCTTTAAGCTTAGAATAGTAAATAGAAACAGAGGAGGTACCTTGACTGAGAGTAGCAATTTCTCTGTGCAAATTGTAGCATCGAGTGTCATTTACCTTATCAAATCGCTCTTATAGATCCATCCATACTGCATGTACATTGGCGGCATAAGCGATTCCCCTGATTAGGTTTGGAGCAACTACATTCATTAGCCATGAAAGCACAATTACATTGCACCTTTCCCACTGATACCAATATTTTTCACGAAATCGTTCCTTTTTCCATCTGCCATCCACAATTCCGAGCTTGTTTCGATCAAGCAAAGCAATTCTCATAGATCGATACCACAACGAGAAGTTGTCCGTACATGTAAGTTGAAAAGCGATAAGAGAAATTCCACTGGTATCTCCAGGAGCGAGATACAGAGGATGAGTAGCAGTGACTGTAACTCCTTCTTCAAATTCATCATCCGATGAGATTTGAGAATTATCAGCTATAGTAGTTGTATTTCCTAAATCTAAATCATTTTCTGCCATTGTTGAACATATTAGGGTTTCGATGAAGAAATTGAGCAAAAACAACAAAAAACGAAATTGAGAGGAGAATTCAGAGAATGTAAAGCAGGTGTTGGATCGAATTGATTATGAGCTACAATCCATAGCTCTGTGCTCTAATACCATGAAGAATTAAGATAAAGAGAGATGAAGAAGACGACATGCAGAGATAGAAGAAGAAAGGAGGAAGAAGGCTCTGCTATGAAACTGTTTCATTGAAGCTTAGATAGAAAAATGAAATACACGTAACTTCTATATACACTCCATATGCTTAGGTGTCACCAACCAATTAACCTCTCCACTAACTACTTACTTAAACTAACTAACCAACTTAAATAATACAAAGTACATCTATTGGTTTGTCTTGTTACTCTCAACAAATTTACTTCTTGGATTTCCCTTTTTGATTTGCCTGAATTTGTCTTTCTTGTCTAGAGAGGCAAATAAGCAAAACGTCATATAAGTAGCTTAAAAGAAAGGAAAAAAGGGATCTACTTGACAACTCTCTTTGACCCAGAAACCTATTTATCTTTTTTTTCCTTTTTGCCTTTTCTCCCTATTTTTTCCTCGTATAGTAAGAATGAAAGCCTCAATTATTACTGCCTCAACGTTTCATATTCCTTAATAAATGCAGACAAGGAAGTTTACTGCTGGTTTATTAATTTAATAATTGCTTCTTTATGACACCAAATAACATAATTGTAGTTTACAAAGAATTTAGAGAGTCAAGAACTTCAAACGGCTTAAAGCACTAGGAAAAGCAAAGAATGTTTTCTTCAACTTCCCCTCACTATCTGATTATAAAATGCATGTCTTTGTATTTTTCGGTTCTATGGATAACTAAATTGCACTCTCTAAATCTCTTCCCAATTTATAATGGTTATTGAAGGATGTTTTCAGTGTGTGTTGGTTGTGCTTGGTGTGTTTAGCAAGGGTAGGTTAAAGGTGCTTTGTACTAACAATTGTCGTAATTGGAAAATGTTACTTCTGTTATTTAGCATTCCTCAACACATTATAGGAATTTATTTTGGTCGATACCAAAAGGAATGTGAAGAGTTCTCAAGCTTGTAAGATAAATCCTCGAATAAGTCCTCAGGCTTGCAAGATAAAAGGTCTTTTTGCTTTTTCGTTTTTCCCTTTTATATTTATTCATTATATTTGAAATTTGTTCTTTTTTGTTCACTATTTTTTCTTCTCTCTTAGGTAACAAAACTAAATTTTCTTGACGATTTTTGGCTTTTTGAAGAAATTATAAAAAAAAATGCACGAGCCAATCACAAATTAACCTGTAATGTATCTAGAGCAAGAGCTTTATATAAGTCCAACATGAACATTTGATATACTCCCTATTTACATGTTGAATTTGATTATCTTCTAAAATAAATTATAATATGTTTAAATAAAAAATATTTTCTCTAATATATAGTATTATTTATGTATACCTGATAATAGAGTGAGGTGTATAAAGCTCTTTATAATAGTATTCATGTACTTTGAAGTTTTGTATACGAAATGTAGTATTAAATATTTATATGTTACTTTTAGATAAAAATTTACTCACATCAAGTTATGTTCTATGAATTATAAAATGAGTTTTGAAGAACTTATAGCGACAATCTATGTGAAAAAAAGTAAACTGATTGTACTTTGTTTCAAGCCAATACGTCTTTGGTAATTCGTTTGAATACTCATTTAGCTATTAATTACTACTACAATATGTTAGTATTAATTAAACAAAAGATAACCGCAGAAAATAAGAAAGGGCCAACAAAGGTTGGTGTGATCAAGATAGTGTGAGTTAGTATTTGTAATGTGATAGTGAATGTTCATCAATTTCCTTTTTTTGGTCAATGTTGAGTTCTCGGTCAAGGACGTTAATGAAAAATAATAAGTTTTAAATATCTTTTTGTAATCTAATAGTATTATGAAATTATTATTTTATAAATTTAATGAGATCTTTTACGACCACGCGAAGCGCGAGCAAATTAACTAGTATAAGAATAATATACTAAAACTAGTACTACTAGTATACGATAGCGTATGCCGTCCAAAAAATTGCACGTGTGATTATGGCAAATGACACATTCATTAAATTGAACTTATAATTTTTGTGGTCATAAACTCCCGCGAGGATTCAAATTCGAAGATACACATAGAAAAAAAAGGGAGACGAAATTAAGGCCTTGTTTGTCCATAATTTTTTTTTTCAAAAATATATTTGTCCATAAAATTTTATAAGTTTTTGAAAAAAAATTCGAAAATGAGTTTTTTTTCAAAAATTACTTTTTAAAATTTTTAAGAAAAATTTTCTTCCTCACTCGCAAAAGTGCAATATTTTTTCACGTGAAATATGTGTCCAAACATAATTTCAAATTTCAAATACCATTTTTCAACTTAACTTCAAATACAAATTTTTTTCAAATATATGTTTTTCCTGTATATAACGGAAAAGAGAACTTGGATGTTTCACGGAGTGCATGATTTGCTTCTTGGATTTTCCTTTTTGATTTGTCTGAAATTGTCTTGTCTAAAGTGGCAAATAAGCAAAACGTCACATAAGTAGCCAAAAAGAAAGGGAAAAAAGGAAAATCTTATATGATTCTTCCGGCAGAAGGTTCTTTTATTTACTTTCTTGACAAATGTAACTTTCAAGTCCGCTGTATAAAAATACATCTCAAGATCAAGTGTAATCTGATACAAATAAACGTCATTTGGTTAATCGTTAACGCATTGAAAACTTGTTATTCAAACGCAATAAATATAATCTTTACTTGAATAGTACGATAAGCAAAAAAGTATATATATATATATATATATATTACAAACAACAAGTTGAAAAGAATAGGAAGATACCCGTGGAGTGACTATATTAGAATTACCTATACTCCCGAATTTTATCAAAAAATTAAAAATTTGTGACACCTTAATAGTTTGTCCCTAGTACTCTCTTCCCCGCCACATGCCATGCCATTGTCAACTTGAAAAAAGTCTAAAATTTTATATATTGGAGTAGTTGGTTTAACATAAAGTAGGAATAGATAATGTGTTAGGGATAGCTAGAAAACATTAAGGCCCGTTTGTCTAGATTTTTTTTTAATTTCTAAAAAAAAACTAAAAAATGTGTTTGTTTATGAAATTTTACAAGTTATTAGAAATTTTTTGTCACTCACAAAATTGTAATATTTTTTCAAGTGAAATGCATGTCCAGACATAATTTCAAATTTCAGATACCATTTTTCAATTTGACTCCAAATACTACTCTTTTTTTTTCAAAAATTACAATTTTTATGTCCAAACACCTACTAAGTAGCACTCCTAGAGAGTGTTTGAATTAGCTTATTTTAAGTGTTTATTAGCTTTTAAGCACTTTTTTTTTAATTTTTGTATTGTTTGATAATGATAAAAAGTGTTTAAAAGCACTTGCTTTTAAGCATGAAAAGTACAAAAATAAGCCAAAAACCAAAAGTTAAGTATTATCAACTTATAACTTTTGACTTTTAGCTTATAAACTACTTTTTAAAAACGGACCCAAACACCCTCCTAGTATAATAGTTGCGAAATAGTTAAAGGGACTGATTCACAAATGAAAGAAGCTAAGGGGCAGAACTCAAATTAAGAACTTTTGACTGATAGATTAAAGAGAGCACATAAAGATCCGCAAATAGCAGGAGAGAATAAGCAACGTCTATTTCCATGCTTCTTTGGATTCTGAATTATGACTGATTCACTTGCTTTTTCAGGTTAGGGTTCTCTTTGATCATCTATTTCATTCTGTAGACAAATCATCTGTTGTTCATGCATTTCAATTCAATGCTGATGAATAAATCTGAATTTAAAACTTTTTTTTTTGCAGTTTTTTTCTTTATTTTTAAAATCACGTTCCTTATTTGACTTCTGAGTTTGTAACATTTGATGCCTTAATTTTGAAATCGAACTGCTCAGTTATAACATATTGAAAATACATGTGTTGATCAACAAATGGAAGTGGCCTTAATTTTGAAATCGAACTGCTCTGTTATAATATATTGAAAATAGGTGTGTTGATCAATAATGGAAGTGCTTCGTATGCAAAACTATATATGGGTAGAGTTAGTCGTGGTGTACGCAAGCTGACCAAGACGCCAAGGTCATAAAAATAACTAAATAATTACTGATATTCGTACTGAATTTTTTCAATTTTTTGATAAAGTATCCATAGCATGATTTTATTGAAAGAAAAGAAACTTTGCAAAATGCAACGAGAAATGAAATACTGACATTTCTTTTTTTTTTTTCAACAAATACTGACATTTCTGAACCCTCAGGGGTTGGCCTAGTGGCAATTGACTTGAGCCTTGGGGTTTGCTCCCTTTCAAGGTCTCAAGTTCGAAACCCACTGGGTGCAAACAATTTCTGAGGGTCATCGGACTGGGTAAAACCTGAATTAACCGTGGTGCACTTGCGGGAAACTCCTTGCCGAGGGCCTGTGCACCCCCGGGATTAGTCGGG